ACCTGTTGTACCGTCGTGATTTGTTCACATCAACAACTCCAAACTTGTTTAGACGTACCCCCCTCCAATAGTTGGATCAAATCAATCACATTTGAAGAGAACAGTTTTCAGCCTTAACAATCCAGGATACTCTACTTCAATTATTTCTTGCACAACTCCATAAAAATCGATTTCACCCCTCACACAAACTCCATAGTTAGTTGTCGCTCGCGTTGCACCGTGACGGTATGTGTGAAAAACATAGCCCCGAGTGAAATACATTGAGGCTGTAGTTATTTTTGCCATCGGACCTAGTAGTAACTCATGGAACCATGTTGGAAATTCATCCGGATCATTCGGGTCCACCTAATAAGAAAAAAATTCCGCTTTAATTTCTTGATTTGGTTATATAGCAAATTAAAGTAGTCTTTTAATTAAAATTTTATACGTACTTGCCCTTTTAACCACTGGGCATAGTGTTGATCTTTACGATCATTGATTTCAGTTTCAGAAACCCCAGATATGCATTCTTTAACCTCATCAACAAATGTGCTGAGAAAAACAACAAATAGTTATTAATACTGACAACTCATATAAAGATATTATTAATTAAAAAGTACATTTCATACGATGACAACTCTTCACAATTTAACAGGATATACGTATGTGCACTGTGATAATCTTTTTCATTGGACCACCAAACATCTTTTAGTTTTCCACTAAGACGTCCGATCGGCGAGAATATGTCAGGTACACCTTCAACGGCATATGTATGGCCAACTCCTCCATCATCATATCGACGAGTAGCTCTTTCGCGTGTTCGTACTTTCGTGCAAAATAGTATGAAGTGAAGTGTGAAGTCTCTTGCGTCAAGCTTCCCGCCACAATTGAGTCTTCCACTTTAGCTAGGTTTTGGCTTTACCTTGAAGATGCTTCATGAAACGCTCGAACGGATACATCCACCTGTACTGAACGGGTCCACCGAGCTCTGCTTCGTGTGGGAGATGAACAGATAGATGTTCCATAACATCAAAAAATGATGGTGGGAAGATCTTTTCCAAATTGCACAACAAGATTGGAATATTCAATGCCAGTTGTGATATTACATCAACTGATAATGTTCGTGTACTAAGATCCCGAAAAAAGCACCAATGCCTCCAATAGCTTCATGGACGTTTTTGGGCAAGAGTTCAACAAATGCAAATGGAAATAATCGTTGCATAAACACATGGCAGTCATGACTTTTCATCCCAGCAAACTTTACCCCCTTCTCAACAGATTTGGAAAGATTAGAGACATACCCATCTGGAAATTTAACGTCAGAAAAAACTCATCTGAACAATGCTGACTTTTGATCTGCACTCAACCGAAATACAGGAACTGGTGCTTTCCCGTTTCTCAGTAGATGCAACTCACTTCTGTTGCATAAATCAGGCAAGTCCAATATTGACTTACCATTGTCTTTTGTTCTTCCCGCTACGTTCATAACTGTATGCATGATGTTATCAAAAAAGTTTTTTTCAATGTGCATGACATCAAGATTGTGTCTGAGCAGATGATCTTTCCAATAAGGTAGCTGCCAAAAGATACTTTTCTTGTGCCAATTATGATGAACTCCATAACCTTCAGGCATATTTGCAGGAGTGTGCCAGTTTCCCCCACGCGTTACTGTTTCCTCTGCCCTCCAATGATCGATTTGCGCCTGTATATTAGCTCCTGTTAAATTAACGGATGGAGGGACATGTACACTTTTGTTCTTAATAAATAACCTCTTGTTCCTCCGATATGGATGGTTATCCGGTAAAAACCTCCGGTGACAATCAAACCAACAAGTTTCTCTACCATGTTTTAGCTGAAACGCATCAGTTCGATGAAGACAATAAGGACAAGATAGCCTCCCATGTGTAGTCCATCCTGATAGCGTACCATAAGCGGGGAAATCGCTTATTGTCCACATAAGCACAACCCGCATAGTAAAATTTTTCCTCGTAGAACAGTCATATGTACGAACGCCAGTATACCATAACTGATTCAACTTATGTATGAGTGGCTGCAGAAATACATCGAGAGCTTGCTTCGGATGATTTGGACCTGGAACCAAAATACTTAGGAAAAGAAATTCCCTTTGCATGCACAAATCTGGAGGAAGGTTATAAGGAGTTAGGATTACTGGCCATAATGAATATTGTCTACCAGACATACCAAATGGACTAAAACCATCAGTGCACAGACCAAGATAGACATTCCGTTTGAACTTAGCAAAATCTGGGTATACCATATTGAAGTGTTTCCATGCCTTTGCATCTGATGGATGAACAACTTCTCCATCTACTTGTGTATGTTCTGCATGTCATCTCATTGATGCAGCTGTCCTTTCAGATTGATAAAAGCCGTTTTAACCTATCAGTTATAGGGAGATACCACATACGTTGGTACGGTATCCTCTTACGCCCACCAGTTTGCGGCCTGTATCTTGGTTTTTGGCAAAATCGACATTCCTCCAGCTGATTATCATCTTTCCAAAAAATCATACAGTTGTCAACACATACATTTATCTTCTCAGAAGGTAGACCAAGACTAAAAATCAACTTCTGAATTTGATAGTATGTTCCTGCTGCCAAGTTATCCTCCGGTAGATACTCCTTCAAAAGATCAGCCCAATCATCCATGCAAACCTCAGCCAGATTATGATCTGTTTTAATTGACATCATCCTAGCTGCCAACGATAATTTAGACAAGCCTTCTCTACATCCTTCGTAGATTGGCTGATTAGCATTGTCTAACAAATCATAAAATCGTTTGGCATCTACATTAGGTTCCTCAACAGCATTACCAATATACGTTTCATGAAATGCATTAGTCACCATTTCGTGCATCCTTATCATGATCTACACTTTGATCATATTGATATTGATTAGGCTGATGACCATAATTCGATTCATCAATATCAACATGACTTTGATAATTACTACTACTACCAGCATTCCTATGAGTATTACTGCCATATCCTTCTCCATGTAGATACCAAACAAAATATTGCGGCATAAACCCTCTATTTAATAAATGCGTCCACACAGTTTTGGTTAGTGTATACCTCGTATTCTTGCATTTCAAACAAGGACAAAACATCTTCCCACTATCTTTCGTTCTCTCCATATTTGTAGCCTGAAACATCAATATTTTTAACCCGTTCTTGAACTCTTCTGTCAACGCCCCATCTGAATCTTTACGCATATACATCCAACTTCTTAGCTCGTATATAGACATCTTGAAAATAAACTCAAAATACTATCTCTTTTTATTGATTAGACAATTGTGTCACGATCTAGCCACGTGAATGGAGTAAATTAACCTTATAATATTATTACTTCTTTTTTTCAAAGTAATATAACTCTTAATTCGGGTTTCCAACAATGGACAACCCAATATATAAGGATTTACAACACTATATTAAAATTTAAGAGACCTACAATGGGTCTCAAAGATGAAGATGCTCTTATGTTTGAATGATGATGTGTTGTGATTGAAAGAAGGAATGAAGATCTATTTATAGGAAAATTTCTGGCTTTACAACGCTTTTACGACGACAGACGAATTTACATTCAAAAATAATATTACGACGAGTTTACGACGATTATGCTATAAAATCTATCCCCTGCAATTGTTAGGTAAACATATTTTAAATGTTTTCCATCTAACTTCTTTTCGACGTAAAATCGTCGTAATATGTACATCAAAATGCAGTCGTTGTATATTCGTCGTAATGTTACATCGAATTTACGACGATTTTACATTTACTAGCAAATCTCTCGTTATCGATGTATAATCGTCGTAATTCGTCGTAAATTGTACGTCGAGTTTAGACGATTTTTTTATACGACGGTGTTACGACAGTTTTTAAAATAGACGTAAGATCGTCGTAAAATCGTTGTAAACTTGCGACGATTTGAAAACCGTCGGAATGGACCGTTGGAAAACGATTGTTTTCTTATAGTGGTAACACAACGAACCAAGAGCAGGTTTGTTGTGGCTCGTCCGGCTAAAGTCACAGAGACTCTTCTCAAGTAAGCACACCCTAAACTATGAAACTCTAAAGCCCCTAATATGCTTTGAGAAAATGTCATCATTATCATTAACATTGTGCGTTTTGACTCCAAAGGTACATTCCAGCAGAGGAGATACCGGTTCAGTACGGTGGGTTCAAAAGAGATGATGATACTGATTTCTCAAACGAAGCTGCTTCTGAAGTTGTTATTAAGCCTGGATCAACTGAAACCATCGAAATCCCAGCTCTTGAGGTAAAATAAATTTTAAAACTAAAACCCTTTCTTTTTCCATGAGAGATCAATCTGATAATATGGTTTTTGTGGGTTTTTTTTCATAGACTGAAGGTACAATCGTCTAGGACATTGCTGTTATGGGATGGGAAGTGAGTTACAAGGAAGAGTTTGTGCCAACAGAGGAAGGAGCTTACACCATAATCGTTCAAAAGGAGAAGAAAATGGGATCAAATGAAGGACCGATGAGGAACAGTTTCAAGAACAGTGAGTCTGGTAAGATTGTTCTTACCGTTAGCAATGTCTCCAGCAAGAAGAAGAAGAGAGTTCTCTACAGGTACAAGACCAAGAGCTGAAGTAGAGGCTTTTCAGCAATCTTCTTAAGCAGTAGTCTCTGGATCTAATTTTTCTTCTTTTTTCTACAAATTAAAAATTTGTTGTAATTAATAGAATTTTGTTCCTTGACACAAACAAAGATCATCTTACAAAGAAATGTTCAAACTTTGGGACCAGGTTTGGGAGATGCAGATAAATGTCTATAAAAAACCAAGAAATACTTTTTTTCTCTATTTCAGAGTTGGACCCAAAAAAAAAAAAAACGTTTTGGCCTAAGACTTTGAAATGTTCATAATTGCCTTGCCTTGCAATTCGCAAAGAGAGAGGTAGGTACACTATATATATAGTATACAAAGACATAACCAACAGAAGAAAGTAGTAGTAGCCTATAAATCAAACCGGTTTGAGTCACTGGTAATGGAGACCAACGTCAACCGGGCCGACCTTGGGTTGCTCCCTTGACATGTAATAAGGTTGATGTTGTGGTGGTTGACCTTGCCAATACCAGGGCATATTATTGTATTGCATTGCTGCTCCTGTCATCGGAACTTGTGGTTGTTGTTGTTGTTGTTGCATCATCATCGGACGTAATCCTTGTGCTTGCATCATCTGAAATGGAGGAGGGCCACTCCCAAACCTCGATGAGCCTTGCCAGACACGGTTCTGTATAAAAGGCTGAACAACCTTTGGTTTGCTTCTGCAACACCCTAAAAGAAGATACTTTCTTAGTATTCCCTCCTTCTTCTTCGTCTTCATTGCCGTCTTTACTTGGGCCTCACGTTTCATGGGTTTAGAATCATGATTTTTTACTTGGGTCTCACGTTTCATGGGTTTAGGATCATGTTCTGAACTGGTGTCGGAAGAAGAAGATGTATCAGAAGTGTCGTCTTCTTCTTCTTCTTCTTCATCACTGATGAGATCGTCAAGCTTGTAGTTCACTGACACAAGCTCTGTTTTTCTGCCACATTTGGTTAGTTTATTGACCAGAGCCATCGGTTTTACGTCGCCTGTGACTGTCATGAGCCCTTTTTCTGCGTTATACTCCGCTGCGGTTACGCCTGTACATCCAACCATTGCAAAAACAAAATTGTTTAAAATCTTCAATGTTTTTTAAAACTATGAATGATTTCTTTCTTACCAAAGAGACTCTGTAGCCTTGTGCTTGCTTTCTTTTGGCAACCGGTGCAACACTTTAAATCGACTTTTAGTATGCATGTCTGAAAAATTTTACACATGAGTGTATCACTTGCAACTGAAAAAAGAGAGCATGAGAGGGAGAGAGAGAGAGAGATTGAGAGGAGAAAAAAGTACCCGGACGGATTGGTTTGGGTTCGCCATTGAAGGGAGCTCGGTGAAAAGAAGAATTGTGGAAAAATAAAAACCCTAAAGTGGAGAAAAAGAAAATTAGATAGCCGGGCATCGTTATTATATTTTTCATATACGAGGGAGAATCCATAAACTTGCCATAATTGGCAGAATTTTACATTAATAGTTTATGAAATATTTGCTTAAATATCTTTAGTTTCCATGTCTGATGTATAAATGAAGATTCTGGCAGATACTAAAAAGTAAATTGTGTGTTTTGTTTTTCTTCTACAATTATGTGGATAGAGCTTCGACATTAATCGAAAATATGTTTATTCATATTAAATTTCCAAAAAAGACTCAATCTTTGGAGTAATGATGATCTGTTATTGAACAAATGTATTCTGACTTCGCTGTCAAATCCTCATTACGGGTTCCACTCGATTTATCAGTCTGGATCCAGTTGAAGAAATAAGCATCAAGAAGGGAAAGTCACTGCAAAGTTTTTTGCAGGAACAAGAGATACAGTTTGGTGTCTGAATTAGTAGAGAACTAGAGATCATTATTTGTTCAAAAATCTGAAAAAAAAAAGAGAATGATATGAGACTATTGAGAAAGATCTCATGGTCGCAATGGAGCATACGGAGAAATTGGATCTTGAGATAGAGCATTTTCAGCCATGAAAAGATTAGGGGTAATTTTAGGATTTAATTGGTATGGTTTAGCAAGAATCTTGTTATTTGATCATTTTCAGTAGTGTGCTGTTACTTGTCGAGTAAGCCTTTTTATTTATTTTATTATTATGTTCTGTTGGGAGTTTTGTGTAAGAATTACGCAGCTCAATTTGGTTAAAGCTATATAAATATATTACTATTATTTTAAATAATTAAGAGTTTTGGGCCAAAGCCACTATATACTCCAGATCTAATACCAGAGCATGTTATACGATCTCTGTTTTTAAGAACCACTCGAATCAGCAACCTCTAAACTTTGCTTGAAATTTTAACCAGTTGAGTTATGAGGTCTTAATCTATACAAATATTTTAACATAACATAATCTAATTTTTTAAAATTTTATTGATGTGTGAACTTATAGAGATAAAAAAAACAATTAAACATAAAAATATTAGAATCTTACCACAAATTTGATACTACAAAACTTTTATAGTTTATGTTTTATTACCACAAATAAGACATAATAAGACTTAGCAAACAAGATCACAGTAGCAAGCATGATAAGGTTCCTTTATTATTGTACCATTGGTAAAAGATGGACGATCTTTGCATTGACAACGAAAAGGTCTGGGTGTTTCTTTTGATTTTAAGATGCATTCAAAGCATTGCCGCAAAGGCTACCTCTATAAAACACTCTGCTAATACACACTTGTGTCTTCCGAGTCTCCACATCTAATAAAAAATTGTATCATCAATATAATAACATATTCATTAATTATATATATTATTCTGCAAATATGATTTAAATTTCAAATATAAAATTAATATAACCTATATTTAAAAGAGTCTAAAATAATTTAAATATATATTTTTCAAAATGAAATTTAATTATAAAAAGTTAAATAGTTTAAACTTTAAATTTAATATAACCTATGTTTAAAGAAACTTTTAGTTTTCTAAATTTGTACCTAATTTTTGAAATTAAATTTCTATATAAAAATAATATATTGCAATAAATGAGAATAATCTTTAAACTGTTTTTAGAGAATGGGATAATAATTAGTCATTTAGCTCATGATATTTGATAGTATCATACGCGGGCCTCAAGAACAACAACTTGAGGTAAAAAAACTTTTTTTTTTGACAAAGTTGAGGTGAAAAAAACTTCAACAAATGAAGTTGATAAGCTGCTAATAACAATTTTGGTCGACAATAATGTTGAGAATTAAACAAAAAATAAAACCCGGATTTGGAGATAATACAATGAAAAAAAAAACTAGACAAACAACGTAAAAGAAAGAAAAAAAGAATAATACCCTTTTGCACCAAACTATAAACTCAAGCATCAGCAGTAATCTGTTTCACTAGTTAAAGTGACCCCGGTTCAAGTGAAAAGCTCACACTAGTTTCTCTGGTTCCTTGACAGCTTCTTCGTTTTCTTTAGCATCCGTTTCTGCTGCAACCTCTGCTTCCTGGTTCTTCTTCGTCTCCTTGGGGATCTCAGGTTCAGAGCTTTGAGCATCCTCATGAGATTCCGCTGGTTTTGATGCATCAGGACTGGAGTCTCTCAAGTTCTCTTCAGCACCACTCGTTGCATCTGGTGAGCTCTCAGTGGTTGCAACGCCACTTGCACCTCCTGGTGGTGAATTCTCTGCACCCTTATTATCGGTATCATCACCATCCTCCTCTTTGTCGATTTGAACCTCACCATTGGGCAACATGGTAGCTTCATCTTGGTTGGAAGAAGGAGCAGTGGACTCGGAGGTCTCTCTCCATTCAACCCAAGCAGGTGACTTTTCAGGTTCTGCTTCACTCGGGTTTTCCTCAGGACTCTTTGATGTAGAATCCTCTGTTTCCATATCATCAGTTGGGGAAGAGTCTGCAGTGTCTTTAAATTCATCGGCTTCACCTATGACGACATCATCATCATCGTCGTCGTCATCATCATCATCATCGCCATTTCCATCAGCATTGGGTGAAGGTGAAGCGATCGAGCTCATTGAGCGCTCATTCACAACTTTTTCATCATCGAAAGCAAACCAGTCTGAATTTGTGAAGAGCGAGTCGCTACAAAGACACCATGTAAATATTTCGTTTGTTAAGGAACCACATCAACTAAATGATGGGAGTCAACGGATAGAAGCGGATTGATTTCCACCAGAAAAGAAAAGTCGAACCCATTACCTCTCCTGATCATCTCCAAGGCGCAAGGAAGATATGACGACCTCTGCAGATTCATCATCAAAGTAGACATCCTGCCACATTGAAGGTTTTCATCGCTATCACTATCACTAACGCTTTCATATTGATTGCTTAGATAAACAGGCACATGAGCCGAAGTAAAATTTGAGTAACTTCTCAGCAATAAAATCACACAGCGGAGATTAAAATTTAAATTTGCTCCCACTCGTTTGTCAATTGAAATATCCTCACAAAAGGTCTTAAGCTGTGTTTAGCGTCATATTTAGGATTTTAGAAAGTCAAGTCTCAGTTCCTAAAGATAAGAAAAAGACTAATAATACCTCATCATCGCGTTCCATCGAGCCTTGGTTCTGCAGTGGATAAATAATATATGTCAATGGTAGAACAAATGTAAGATGTAGTCCTCTTTCCGCTTCAGCAAAAGAATGCAGCAAAAATTAAAAGCTCTGGCAAAATATGGTTGTTTTTGTAAACCAACTAATCCAAGCTACTTCCAGGATAGTTAAAAATATTAAAGGAAGAGAAGACGGTAGGAAAACCGCATGCTATCCATAGGTCACAGGGTAAGCGACGGTTTAACTATCCACCAAATACAGAGATTTAGTAACTACATCACTCCTAGTGGTCCAAGAAATCAAAAAAACTTTAGTCACTCTTGCATCAGATTTCACTATGTATCATATTTCAAGAACTATAATAGGACTAAAGACCATCGCAAAATATATTGCTTTCCTCAAGAATTCCTGAACTGATTTCCTCATTTGTCTCAACCCATGACCTTCCAGGACTTACTGAAGTATGCGACTAAAATCTATGATGATAAACAAAAAGAGATCACAAAGTAGCAGCTATGACAAGGAAACACAAGAAAATCACCTCATCCATGTCATCGTTGCTGTAAATTCCATATCTAAAGGCCTGGCTCAAGTTGTTTGCTAGGGCTGCTACATCATAGTCTCTGTCGTGGTAATCATCATCATCGCTATCTCTATTACGATCATGGAGTGAAGTTGGCCTCCTGTTAAAAAGAAAAATATCAGTAAAAGGAAGTATCTATATACTACACTAACCATCACTACTGCCAATCATGTAGCATTTATCATCCCGTAAGGAACTTCACAAAAGCATGCTCTTATTGCCGTCTACTAGAAATGTTTAAATACATTTATATTATCATATATCTAGATTGCTATTAAAGCAGATTACACAAATGTGACAAACTTCTGTTTAAAAATACTATTTCAAGTATAACCTCTGGTTTTGGTCATAACTTAAGTCTAGCAAAACTCCCAATAAGAGAAAAAATTACATACCCGCAGGCCCAAGAGTAGACATTTTCCAATGTATTCCGCTTTGACAAGACATCTGTCTGCCAATCCACCCATTTGCTATTTTCCTGGTAAAAAACGTAAAAAAAAAAGGAATCTTGAACGATATATGACGAGTTTGATACTATAGACCAGCAGCCTACAAGGGTAGAACCTCTCTCAATATTTCACATGCCAACAAGCCATCAAGGAAATATAGTTAGAAGATATCAAACAGGGTTAAAGCCCTGAGAAAATTTGTTTTTGAGCTTCGGATCTTCTACAAAAATTATACAGCAAATGTAAAGAAATGCCATACACTCGTAGAAAACTCAGAAAACTATGAATAGCAATTATATTTACTTATATTGAGTATTTTCAAGTCCAATAAACAATCCATTTGAATTTCATATCAAACAGAATTGTGGTATACCTGCAAATGAGACTGAATTTCGGCATTGCTATTAGCTAGCTGAAGCAGTTTGTTCGAGATACGGGTCAAATGACCAATGCTTCCAATCCTGAGCGGCTTTCTACCCTCTGCAGGGACCGTAGGCTGAAGCTGAGACGTCACAGGTAAACCAAGTTAATATATAATGATGCCAACCTCAGACAATATCATTTAGTATCTTCACCTTATCAGAATCAGCAGCAGTTAATATGGAGTCTTTTTCCGCCTCTAGTATACTCCCAATAAGATTGCACTCACTGAGAAGATGGTCAAGAAGTTGAGGGTTTTTGCTCTCCAAACATGATAGAATTACATTTTCCACATGATGATGCAAAAAGTTATTGTAGGGATATCTGAGACAAAATTGCACCACAATTTAGCATGGCAGTCTGCATACTATCAACTAAGAAAAAATAAATTCCTACTTACTCGAAGAACAAGTCCAACACTCTTTTCACCGCTCCAAGTCGAATAACTTCCTTCTCTGCTGCTTCACTACCGACTGTGAGTAAGACTGAAATAAACTCTACAATCTAGGAAAAAGAATCAAAGTCAAATCTTCATTCGTTGAAGAAAAGTAGTACAGAATTTGAAATTATCACTACCGACCGTGAGTAAGATTCTACAATCTAGGAAAGAGAAACAAAGTCAAATTTTCATTTGTTGAACAAATGTATTCAGAAATTTCAAATTATAACCATAACAGTGAAAGGTGCCTTAAATTAGAAAACAAATGATACAAATGAGAACAAAAAGTACCTTTAATCTGTGTTTTCCAAGAGGTGGTTGCAACTTGCCATATGTCGTTAAAAGAACACCCTCAGCAGATGATACATTCAAAAGCATGAGTAAATCGCCTGCATAGCAGAAGCATATTACACAGTTTTCATAGCAGCCAAGAAATTAACATTGCAAACCCCAAAATATTAGAAAAAGACCATTAAAGTTCTGAAGCAAAATGCCATGACTGATCGTCTAAATGTGCACAGTAATCTGGTTGTAGAATTTGAATTCGACTAAAACAAAGAAACCAAGTATTCTTTCTTCCCAATAGGGAAAATAGCATTCAGAGAAATCAACATACAAGCGGCAATACATATGAAAATTTGATAATCATACTTTATTGCTCACCTAGGCTTCCAAGCATTCCCTCCACTGTCTCGGGATTAGTTACTCCAGGGGTTAGTTGACGACCATATATATTATAAGTCCCCAATGTAAACCTCTTAGGATCCAGTAGAGATATGCATACAGACAACGAATTAACCAGAACAGACTTAGGCCGTGAATCTTCTAAAGTATGTTTTAACAACCTTCCAGTGCAGCTGCATAAAATTGTACAGGACAGAGAACAATACGTCAATAAATTATAGTTTTCAAAAGCATCAATACATAAAAACGATAGCCAAACTGAGAAAAGCCTACCTAGGGCTGGAAAGTTTTGTTGCAAGACCAGGGGGTGCGTATCTTGCAACAGTACAAAGAATTTCAGCTGCGTTAGCATGTACCTCGGGAGAATCCTACGAAAGATAACAAAAATCTCCAAGATATCAGTAAATAGCATTGCCTGGGATGATAAAATAAATCTGAATAAAGAAGCCATAAGACTAGCCATATTGAAAGAAAAGTAATCCACGCTACAGAACGAAACGTACCGAGGAGCCAAACTTGTCTACAATCATCTCTAAAACATCTGTATCTTCTACCCACTGCATTGCACTTGTGTAGTTCGAATATAGGTGTTCATCAGTACCAACCAGACGTTTTAAAACCTGAGCACCAGCAATAAGTTAAGCGCCTAGGAAACTAGAATTTTACAGAAATCTAATAATCTAAAACCTACAGAATTACGACCTTCATTGTTTACAGACAAATATAATTAAAAAAGTCACTGGTGTAATAACCTTCATTGTGTACAGACTAATTATACAGCAAAATCACCATGAGAATGATGAGAGCAAATATTCGCAGTATTTACCATTTTTTCATCGTCATTACTGGGTCTATTAATAAATATTGTTTTCGTAAACAGATTCATAAGTGATTTGAAGGAGAGAAAACATGACATTTTTTCCAACTAATCAGTATGTTCTCACTAGATGTTTAATACACGTAAAGCCGAAATCAGGAGTTCCTAAAACGCAAATAAAAGTGCACACCAACCTCCAATATAGATGTAATACCAATCAAATCAACAAGCTGCTTCAGTATTTCTTGATGATCCTGGTAGCACGAGAAAGTCAAGATTGATCATAAAAGAATTGTTGATATGAACTTCAGATGGTTAAATGGTATTCAAAGCATTGTTAACTTGTGTACCGGTTATTAAATTGTATCAACCGAGTTAGATTGGATATTGTCGATTTAGGAAAAACCTCTTTCATCAACTATATAGCAATACCAATCTTTATCAATATCTCTGACTATTTAACAGTATTATCTCAACTTACACCGATAATCCTAAATGTAAAAGAAACCAGCCAGCTAATGGTTCAATAATCTCTACAAAGATACGGATAAAAAAAATACTAATTCTAGCACATCAGCTTAAACAGATATCTTAATCCGGGTAACAAAAATCAACTTACTTTTATGAATTGCATGAAAGGGATCGTCTTCCGCACCAGCAGACAAATGACAACCTAGTAATAGAAGATGTAAGAGAGAACACGTAGAAGATTACTCTTTGAGCCCTATGAGTTTTTCTCATAATTATATAATTGTCGAATGCTAAACACCTTGCTGAAATATCCGGCAAGCAATGAGTTATGGGTTTCTTTAGCTTCCAAGAAAGAAAACAGCAATAACATCAACTGCAAAAAGAAGACATCACGAGAGGTAAGAAACCCTAAATCCGCAACAATTTACAGAGTATACCTATAGGGAAATGTAACAGAGTCATTGTCTACCTCCTCATCCTCGACTAGTGTTTTCAGTATCATTTCAATCTCACATGTAAAAATTTCACACGCAATGAAAGGAAACCTGGAACCCATTTAGAAGAAAATATCAATAATTGAATTCAACAAACACAATCAGCAAAAAAAAAATAATAATAACGTTTCTCCAAAATAATTACTTGAATGTTCGCTTCTTTTCCACATCATCGAGAGGCTCCTCTATTATGTACCTAATCAGTTGTTCCACTTGCGCTCTTTCTCTCAAGCTGAAACAAAAAAGAATCCAACATTTGAGCGGCATTGCCCGTGAAAGAGAATATAATTTCTGTGCACAAGACGATGACAGAAATATTATTTTGCTTAAATCGATGACAGAAATATTATGTGTGATGCAAAAAGTAGCATGTCGTAAATAATGTGTGAATGAAAGTAGAAATGTTTTATTGGTTGTATAAAAGATCTTTAAAGAATAATTCCCAAACGTTTTTTAGCCAATGTATTCTGATAGCATAAGAAGTGACAGAATCTTCATGTAACATTGCATTTCTTTTCATCTCCCAAAAAGGTAATGAAGCATTAAAAAAGTGCAAGAAAATGTGGTGAGAGAGCATACAAATTTAAGAGTCGTCCATTAAGGGCTTTGCATTCTTGAATAAATTCGTCCTCGTCAAGAAGTTCCTCTAATGTGAAACCATCTTTGTCCAAAATTGCCTCAATCTGCAAAGGAACAAAAAAAAAATCGTCATTCAGAAAGCATATAATAGTATGAATTGCAAGCAGCCAGCAAAAATCTTAATCCCTACGGCAAGAAAGGATAGTCTCCCACTTCCAGAGAGACATTGCTCAGATATCATCATGAATTAGGTAGACGAAGACACTTAGTTACTTATAAGCCAAGAAATCCAGACACTGGAAATCTCTTCATCTCCAACATATTCGTCTAAAGAAACAGAGTAAGCTTCGAAAATCCCCAGAAATGAAACCCCAAAAGCCCGTACAACCCATAGGCGCTAAATCCACCAACAAGAAACGCGTCCAGGAAACAAACAAACACCGAAAACTCATCTCCCTCTCTATGGAGTGCCTTATTCTCACAGATATTACAGAAGATCGTTAAGAAATAGGTTCAGGGAGAAGAAGACTCACGGCAGAAGCCGTTGACAATCCCGCCATTCGCCAGAACATCTTTCCAGCTCAAGAAAAAACGTCGAATTGCCCTCGCGTCCACAGAGATTGGGATCTCTGAAACCCTAACAAGAGAGGGAAATTTCGCCTAGAGATAGAAGAAGAAGACTCGAAGGCGAAGCTAATCCGAAACTTAGAATCTGTAATCGCTGTGAGAGGGAAGAAAATTGCAGAAATTCGATCTGAGATCGAAGAGATGGGATGTGAGCGACAAAGAGCACCTTCAATCGCGGGAGGGTAGTGCTTAGAGATATAAGGAAGACAAAAGGAAAGAGAAAAAGGATCAAATGTGTTTGTTTCTTTAAAAACCGAATTAATTTATTTTTGCTATTTCCGTCCCAAGTAGTGGTCGATATTCAACATTGCGCGTTAGTTGTGAGAATTATTTTTTACTCTTACAAGTTTGTATTATAAATGCTGTGTTGACAAAAAGAAAATATATCACATTACTTGTTTTTCATATCTCCCCCTCAAAAAAAATAAAATAAATAAATTTCAAGATAGCTCTACGAATTAATGAACTCTGGTACGAGTACTAAACTAAGAAATTAAGTGGGTTATTGGTTTATAGATTTTGATTAATTTAGATATCGAAGCAAAATCATGTATTATTGGATCACTGGATTTTAAACTTTATCAAAATTCTATGTTAATATCCTAATTAATTATTCCACATGTTAGATTTTGAAATCAGTGAATTAATCCACACATTTTTTTTAGCTTTACATCCAATTTGCCAAATCTACATTACTCATTAGCATGATTTTGGTATATTGGAAACCGATTTTTTTTAACAGGAAATATCGATGAATTCAAAGAATTTGGAATCCACAAATGTAGTTTCAAATTCACATTTAGAGTATTTTTGTCTTACAAATGAAATCTACAAGATGTTTTGCTTTGGCAATCTTTGTATTTCAACAATTATTGGTTTTATCTTAAGTAGTTGAAGAAGCCACATATCATTTTGTTTTTTTTTTCCCTCACCACATATATCATTTTGTTTAAACCACCAATAGGATAGATATATCTCTAGATATATATTGACTTCTCAAACAAAATTTGAAGTAGACAAAAAGGACACTGTATGGCCTATGGGATTGTGAAAATACAATAGTACTAAAAAAACAAATAGTAGTCGTTAAACTTAAATGCAAGGCAAAATGGCAAATAAGTACATGTAGTTGAGAAAAAACCCCAAGACAAGATACATCCGGTTCAATAAACCGTCCAAATTGCCGGTTCAATCAGATTGAACCGATGATCCGAGCAATTCTGATCGTATAATAAAACCTTGTGTCAAAACAAGTCAGAAGAAGCTCGAAATCCTCCGACGGTTTTCTGTTCGCTTCTTCAAGCCCTAACAATGGAGGACGCCGATGGTCTCAGCTTCGATTTCGAAGGCGGTCTCGATTCAGGACCTGCTCAGCCCACAGCTTCAGTCCCGGTTGCTCCGCCTGAAAACTCTTCCTCCGCCGCTGTTAACGTAACACCGAGCTATGATCATTCTTCCGCGACGGTGTCTGGAGCTGGGAGGGGAAGAAGTTTCCGTCAGACCGTTTGCAGGCACTGGCTTCGAGGTCTGTGTATGAAAGGCGACGCATGTGGGTTTCTCCATCAATACGATAAAGCCCGTATGCCAATCTGCCGTTTTTTCCGTTTATACGGTGAATGTCGAGAGCAGGATTGTGTCTATAAGCATACCAATGAAGATATCAAAGAATGCAATATGTATGTACTTGAAAACCCCATTTGTATTTGGTTTCGATTTCATGCTTTCTCAGTAGAAGATCGAACACCTCTTAGGGATGCAATACTTAGGGATTCTACACTATTCAATGATTGAGATTGTGTTGATTCTTACTTTGATTAGTTTTGTACTTACAGATTCTGTCTTGCAATTGTATTGGCAGGTACAAGCTGGGATTTTGTCCCAATGGTCCTGATTGTAGGTATAGGCATGCGAAGCTACCTGGACCTCCACCTCCAGTTGAGGAAGTTCTTCAGAAGATACAACAGCTGACTTCATACAATTATGGGCCAAATAGGTTCTATCAACCACGGAATGTTGCTCCGCAGCTACCAGATAAACCTCAGGTGCAGGTTCTAACGCAAGGCCAGCCACAAGAATCAGGTAACTTGCAGCAGCAGCAACAACAACAACAACAACCTCAGCAATCACAACACCAGGTCAGCCAGACTCAGATACAAAACCCTGCTGACCAAACAAACAGAACAGCTCATCCTTTGCCTCAAGGGGTAAATAGGTGTGTTCAGAGTCCCAAGTTTTTTAATTGGGTCGTGTAAACTATGTTTGTGTAAGACATTGTTATTGGTCCTTTATCGAACCATTGGTTTCTTATAAGAGTGGTCACTTTGAAATGTAACTAGCTATTTGCAAGTTCAGAATTTTCAAACTTTATATATATATATACAAATTTTAACTTCGTGTTATATATTTTCCACCTCGTTTTAGGATACTTTTCTTTGATAGTTAGGTAAAATTTAGAGATTGCGTTTTTCCTCCATTTTTCATCTGAAGAGAATAGACATTGAACTGCTTCAGTGCTAGCTTTGATTTCTGATTTTTCTTTGACGATTATTAGTCCCCTCTTCCCATCAGTTGCCTTCTTACTTCATTTGACATGTGGGAGATAGGCTTTGCAAATGGTAGTATCCATATACTGGTTTCATTCATTGTTGACTATAGTTCTTTAAGATCTATCTCATTAAGAAGCATACCAGAAATTTCTATTTTCTTTAGTGCTCTGGCTTATTCCCTAATCGCATGTGGTTTAGCAGGAATCCTGCATTGTTTCGGGTTAACAAATTATAGTAACCAACATTTAGTGACTAAGTGTGGAATAATTGTGATATGAGCTGTTTTGATTACGGCTAAAAGAGGTCCAAAATTGTTGAGGTTTCGTCTTCCTTTTTCGTTCGCTGTATTAGAATTTGTTGGTCTCTCTGCTTTCTTGTGTGAAATAGTTAGTATTCATTGTCAACATAGATGCATTTCCAGTTCTTCAGATTCACGACTGTGGCCCTTATGAGCTTCTAGTCAACATAATAGTCTTGATTCCTTTGATCCCAACAGATTTATATGACTTATTTTAGTCTCGGTTGTTAATCTATGCATAACACCTTGTTGAACTATTGTCCTTTAGCATGTCTGTCCACTTGTACATTATGTAATTGTATCAGCCTTTATTTGAAAGAATTTTCTTCCTGATTATGATGCCATGGCTGAAAAGGATTATGCCAATGCCTCGTCATTGATAATTGTCCATGGCCCTGGACTTTGTCTGTTCACATATCTGAAGCAGATAGAGGTCTCATTTTGCTACTTTTTCCCCCTATCCTTGTGCATATAAAAATCTGGACATTTTGATGATCTGGCTTCTCTCTCAGTTTTGATGGTCACAAGTTCTTTTCTTATTTGTCCCTAAGAGTTGATTGCCTATTCCCGTGCTCCACTGTGCGTTTTGTTTGTATGGTGGTTTTATTCAGATATTGATTAGAAGCCTTGTAATTTTTGTAGCAATATCTTTTGGAATCATAATTTGAAAGAAGATGATTTACTTGAATTAGCGTTTCATCTTTTGAAGATGCTTTACTTTTTGTGGATTCGTTAACTCTATCTCTGCCTTCTGTTAGATTCTTACTAATCATCATCTGCCATACCTGATATTTTTTTTAAACTTGGTTTTTCAGGTATTTTGTAGTTAAAAGTTGCAATCTAGAAAATTTTGAGTTATCTGTGCAACAAGGAGTATGGGCTACACAACGAAGCAATGAAGCAAAACTTAATGAAGCGTTCGACTCTGTGGATAATGTGATCTTGATATTCTCTGTCAACCGGACACGGCATTTCCAGGTAGTTTAGTGGGTTAAACAGTAACCACTTACTTATGTTGAAAGACTTATAACCTGTTCATCTGTATCAATGGTTGCTTCTGTGATATTCGTCTTCATAGTGTTGTATTTGGTCGGCTGCGTTATGAATCTAAATATCTTTGTTTTTACATGAGGCTATAGGGCTGTGCTAAGATGACATCCAGAATTGGTGGTTACATTGGTGGAGGAAACTGGAAACATGAACATGGAACTGCACAGTATGGCCGGAACTTTTCAGTTAAATGGTTAAAGGTATTCTGTTTGCCTAGGCTTTCACTATGATTAATATAGTCCTTGCTCTGAATCCCGGTTTAATGTAGTTCTTCTCTATGCGATTGAGCCTATATGGTCTTGCACTTCTGGTGCTATATTCTAATCCGTAAGTCTCAGTCTTGCTTGAAATGTTAGTGTGCCTTTTTTACACCATCGATCTCAATACACACCTTTCCACTTTTTTTATTTCTCTGTTCTGGTATCGTTTCTGCTGATGTTAACTATGAGCTCCGGTAAATGCTACTGAGAGCTAAAGAAGATGCTTTCGTAATTCATGCAGAATTAATGTAATTTGCAGAATTTACATGACTTATATGAGTGATTGTAATTCTTATCATTGTAGTTGTGCGAACTGTCCTTTCACAAAACTCGGAATTTGAGGAATCCTTACAATGAAAACTTACCTGTGAAGGTACGTCGAACTTTTCACCATTATTTACGCTATCATAGCTGGTCTCCTATTTTCGAGCGATATCGTTTGTTAGATACAATACAAATCATTGGAAACTAGGATGTTTATATCAATACACTGACCGCAGTGGCTAAATTGTTCCATGTTAACTACACTTGCATGAGTACAAAAATAGTTTGCTAGTCATTACAAGTTACTACTGATGCAGTTATTATTAAGTACTAGGGTATTAGCTAATGGTCGTTGTGTAATATTTATGTTTTTGAGTATTGCATGTAAGCTAGTCACCTTCATGTAACTCTTTTGGTTCAATGATTGTAGATAAGCAGAGACTGTCAGGAGTTAGAGCCCTCAATTGGTGCGGAACTGGCTTCTTTGCTTTATTTGGAACCAGATAGCAAGCTTATGGTATATACTCTCTTTTTGTTGCTTTCTTTTGTTCTTTTGATCTTTCCTTAAGCGTATAATATGGCACATGGAAGAACCGAGCTCAATGTGATCTTTTACTGATGAGCTCCGCCTCTTTTAGGATTTTTTTTAATTCTGTTGCTTCATCAATCTTTTGTTTTCCATGAATCCAAGGCAATATCCATAGCTGCGGAAGCCAAACGAGAAGAAGAGAAAGCAAAGGGCGTGAATCCAGAGTACAGAGCTGACAACCCAGACATCGTCCCATTTGAGGACAACGAAG